CAAGAAAATGTTTTTGTTGAGCAACCTCCTGATTTCGAAGATCATAAGTATCCAGATCATGTTTTCAAACTTAGGAAAACTCTTTATAAGTTGAAATAAGTTTCAAGAGCTTGGTACGAACGATTTGCCAATTAATCACGAAATGCTATGGTTCTTACATATAATTTATTAATTTCTTCCTTGGAATGCCGTGGGGCTTCTTGATTGGTTGTGAGCTTACTAAAGTGGTTGAGCAAATTTTTTCTTTCAAATGAATTTTCTTTTGGAAAAGCGGATACCATACTTTTTGTAAAACTTATAAGAAAGATATGCTTGTTGTTCAAATTTATGTTGACGACATTATTTTTGGTGACACAAACATCCGTCTTTGTGAAAAAGTTTCAAATTGTATGAGTAAAAAATTTGAAATAAGCATGATCGGAGAACTAAAACTCTTCATCGCTCTTCAAATTAAACAAACAAAAGATGGTATTTTCATAAATTAAAATATGTAAATATTAGACATGCTCAAAAGATTTGATATGCATGATCTTAAGCCTATAAACACACCTATGAGCACATCCTTAAAGCTTGACAAAGATGAGCAAGGCACGCTGGTTGATGTCATAAAATATCGAGGTATGATCAGATCCCTTATTTATTTAACTGTTACTAGACCCGATATTATGTTTAGTGAATGCTTATGTGCTAGATTTCAATCTAATCCTAAGGAATCACATTTACGTATTGTATAAAAAGAATTTTTCGATATCTCAGTGGAACTAGAACCTTATGACTTTGGTATCCAAATGGGACTCATATTGACTTAATTAGCTACTCGGATGCCGATTGGGCTGAAAGTTATATTGATCAAAAAAGTGCTAATGGAAATTGACACTTTCTAGGCTTTGCAATTGTGTCTTGATCTAGTAAGAAACAAAATTCTGTTGCTCTATCTACTGTCGTGCCGGAATACATTTCGATTGCAAGTTGTTGTGCACAAGCACTTTGGATGAAACAAACTCTTTGTGATTATCACTTATCTTATGATCATGTGCCTATTATGTGTGATAACATTAGTGCCATCAACTTGTCTAAAAATCTCGTCTTGCATTCACGAACTAAGCATATTAAAATTTGACACCACTTTCTTAGAGATTATGCACAAAAGGGAGATATCGTGTTGGAATTTATAAAAATCGAGGACTAATTAGCTGATATCTTCACTAAACCTTTAGCTTACGATCGATTTTCTCATATTTGAAGAGGTTTAGGAATTCTTGATGAAAATGAAGTGGAATTAGTTTAAATTCTCCTATCATAAAAATTTTTACATGCACAATGTTTTATAAATTTTGATGAACTCATTTTTGCAATAACCATACATTAAAAAAATTCATCCGAACGCATTGTCCAGACAATTCAACACTAAGGGTGCGTTTGATTGCAAATAGGAAAATAGCATGGAAAGAAAATATTTTCCAGGTAATTCAATTGCTTGGAAATTATTTACATGGAAAATGTTAATTACATGTGTTTGATTGACTTAAATTTCAACCTAGAAAATGTTACAATTTTCCAATTTTTGGTGTTTGATAGCCGTTATTTTCCATGGAAATAGACATTTTTTCCAATTTTATCTGTTTGACAACCACTATTTTCCATGGAAAAAGTGACATTTTCCATGGAAAATAGTGGTTTTTTCCATGAAATTTTGTTAATCAATGATACAAATCTTAAACAAATTTTATAGACATAAATTCGACCAAATCCTAATCAACGTTTCAGATTAGGAGTCCAGAAGGGTAATTCCAGTACACCCTTCAACCAAAGTTTCAATGTCCATGTGTCATATCCACAAAACATGAAATAGTGAAATAGAAAAGAGCCCACTCCATTATGTTAATAAATACAAGAAATATAATGGACCATTCGAACTTATCAGGATGATTTTCTCGTGGCGTTCAACAAGCTCGGGTGAGCTTCATAAGCCTTGTGATTAGGAGGTCGTAGATTTAATATATCTTCAGTTGCCTAGTTCATTATTTGCGTGTTAAATCCAAAATCGGTGATTATTGGTGTTCTTGAGAACTGTGGCAATCTAATATTATTTGACCTTGATTATCGAATATTACATTAGTGTTGTGCCGGAATGACTGCTGTTGGTTTGCCGTTTTCTAGTCATTTTCCGTTTTCCGTCTTCGAAAACGCGAAAAATGCGTTTGGTCCGTCATTTTCGAAAACGCATTTTCGAAAATGAGTTAAAATTTATAACTGAAAACGCAAAATGACTTTTTATCATTTTGAGCGTTTTCAGTTATAAATTGTCAAAACGCGGAAAACAAGTCATTTTCAGGGAAAACTAAAAATCGTTTTGAAGATGAAAATGGAAACTAACCGCTACCTAAATTTTCACAAGTCGAAATTACACTATGCTAGATTTTTCAAGATCATTGTTTAAAAATCAGGTTGGAAATTTTTATGTTCAAAAATTAGGTAACACTTTAATTTTCAATATTAATACTTTAAATTAATCAACCCCAAATTCTCACATCCCGCTCCACCCAACAAACCCGAATACATCTTTCAATTGCTAATTCATTTTTCATATCCACTCCTACCCACTCCTTTGGTGACTCTTCAAAACGCTCGTGTCTGTCGGTGACAGGCGAAGCACCGACCGTCGTGCGTGATGCCCCAGCACCTTACAGTCGTAACCATAGATGCGTGAGCCCATCATCGTCTCTCTCTCTTGCCTCCCTTTTTTTGCATATGTTTCTCTAGTTGGTATAGTGGTGGTGCGGTGGTTTTAGGAATTTTTCGCACTGTTTACTGACTTGCGAAGGTGCACTTTTTTTTACGCATGACTCAGAGACGGATTTAGGGGGGCTGGGCTGGGCTGTAGCCCCCCAGGCCCAATAGCTTTTTTTTAAGGCATTTATTATTATTATTATTATTATTATTATTATTATTTGGTAAAAAACTAGTTTTTTATGTGTAAATCTTTTTTTTCCGCGTAGTAGCGCGATTTGAAATTTTGTAGCCCGATCTTGAATTCAATCCTGGATCCGTCCCTGGTGTGACCTGCACGATCTCTCTTTATTCAATGTCATACCTCTTCTCTAGTGACTTCTTTCTAGCGCCGCGTGGCACCCCTATGGGTAGGTGGTTTCCTGATATGTGGTTGGATGGTTTTTGTGGGTGTTTTAGTATTGGAAGAAATAATGGATTTTAGCAGGCAGTGGTTGATTAGAGTTGCAAGTGGAGGTGGTAGATGGTGTTTCAACGGGCGGTTGCGAGGGTGACAGTAGTGATACGTGTAGTAGTCATAGCGGTGGTGGCTGGAAGAATGGTGGAATTTAGTGGCAGTGTTCTATTTGCCAACATGAATATGTGGAAGTGAATCAGGCTAGTTGGGTGTGATCGTAGTGTGCAGTAATCGTGTGCCGTGATCTGTGGTGGTGGTGTTGTAGTTGATGTTGGTGGCAGTCGTGGTGGTTGTGGCGCAACGACGACGATTGGGAAGAAGAGAGTTTGTGACCAACTACTTGATTGAATTGTGATCAAATATTGGCGGTGGATCGAGATCGGAAGTGGGAGTGGGGAGTTTGGTTGGTGTATGTGACAAACTATTTGGTTTGTGACCAACCATTTAATTGTGACCTAAAAATTATATAATTTGTGGCTAACTAATTTGATAATTTGTTATCATTAAGAAACTGTGATCTATAATTTTTTTTTTTTATTTGTGACCAATCAAATAGACTATAACCTATAAAAAAAAATATTTGTGATCTCAAAATAAACCATGACTCATAAAATTTTTGATTCGTAATCTCGAAATAATCTGTGATTAATTAAGTTGAAAATATGTGACTTGTAATTAGAAATCTGTGACTATTAATTATACAACTGTGACTTTATTATATTGATTTAATAAACATTTTTAATTAATTATATATATACCTGAATTTTAAATTTTTAAACTATAAACATGACTTTTGAATTGGTGTAAATTATACACCTGAGTTTTGATTTTTTTCCCTCTCACATTCGATCCATCTAAGTGAATGAAGCTACATCATATATGGTCATTTGCTTTTCTTCAGCAATGCTCAAGGCAGCGAGACACATCATCTCACTATCATTTACGCCAATATATCATTGCACATTTATCAAAATGAAGCTGCCCAGTACTTCAAACATATTGTACCATGCATGCGTGTTCTCACCATATTCCCAGGCTTGTCCGCTTTTAGTCAGACTACTGGTTCATGGAGTTTCTTGTATGCATATAGCTATGCAAATTCAATTAAAAATAAAATAAAATAATCCAACGGTTCAATCAGAACCTTCAACCAGCTTATACAAATTGTAATTAATATAGCAGTCAATTTGTGAATAAAAACATGCGAAGATTCGGTACGAAAGATGCATAAACACTGTGGAGATGAAATAATTATCCCTACCAATTCAGATTTCTACCACTTATATATTCTTTTTTCCAATCAAAAATAATTATCAAATAATCAATTCAATAAATAATGATGAAATTTCGTCCAATGTATTACATAAAACGAAAATGAAAAAACCCAAAAATCCCAAAACCCAAAAAACCCAAAACTCCAACGTATTTGACGATTCCTAGAATTAGGATCCGCTTGGGTTGAGCTTATTTCCTCCACATCTGAATGGAGGGTTGGTCTAGGAACTCGAAAAGGTACCGTAGAGCTTTGTCGATTATTTGCCATGAGTTCTGTAGTTCAAGATTAACTGCTTATGGTCAACCAATAAATAAGAACATTTAACAAAATTGCATGTCAACAATTTGTCTCCAATAACAGCAATTTCAATTACAATATGTAAAATTCTAACAAGCTTATGTCAACTATTATAGAAGACATGGAAAAAAAATCTGCTTAATGTCAATACGTCTTCAATTCAAGCAATTACTACATATGAAAGTCTAGTAAGTTTATATCCATTACATAAAAACGTAAATAACAAAAAAATATCAAATTTCAATCAAAATCAATTCCCGCATTTTGATTGGGAAGATAATCAGCCCACATTAAATCAGCAATCGCATTCCTCTTATTAGACCACACTTCCTGATTTGTGAAAGAAATGTGAGCATTTGGAGTTTCATCTTCAGGTACATCAACATGCGTAGGGTTAACCTCATCATCACTACTATCTAAGTCGTCCTCCTCACAAACATCTTCTACGTCATCAATCCTTAAGAAGTTGTGGATGGCAGAACAGGCAAGAACTATCTTTGCTTGTGTGTCAATGTCGTGATAGGGTTGATGTCTCAAATATGCAAATCTTTTTTTCAGCAAACCAATTGTACGCTCAATAACATTACGTAGAGATGAATGTCGAAAATTGAACAACTCCTTACTACTTTCAGGACGTTGACCTTCAATATCTCTACGATGATAACGAGTCCTATGGTATGGTGCAAGAAAACCTGAAACCGATGGGAAGCCAGCGTCAACAAGATAATATTTGCCTACGAAAGAGTCATTCATAAGATGGTCATTAGGTAATTATTATAACTTATGTGTGGAAGAAATGTTTTCAAAATAGTGACACAACTTACCAACAGGAATTGTTAGCTTATGTCCTTGGCGTAATATTGCACTTCGTAACAATCGACCATCATGTGCGGATCCCTCCCAACCGGCAAGCACGTACGTAAATTTCATATCAAATGTGCAAGCTACTAAAACATTTTGGGAAATCACTTGCTTTCTATTGCGATATTTACCTTGCTCCTCTAAAGGCACATACGCAGCAATATGTGTACCATCGATTGCTCCCACGGCATCCTTTAAAAAAGAATACTTTTCAGAATAAATGTGTATATTGAAGTTTTAAGAAATATAATTAAATAACTACAAACCTCTAACCTGAAAAAAGGAGTACCATGGCTGGACATTTTCTTTTTCGTATGGCGAGTTATGAGGAGTGGCATTAATCACAACATCTCTATACAGTCCAAGACAAGCATGTAAGACTCTATGAAAGTAAAAGCTCACTGTTTGACCAGATCGAAAGAAAGTAAAACGTCCAGCGCGATTACGTTGGTCATGGCCGACTGTATTCAAAAAAATTGCGACTTGTTCCTCAATTTGAACGTATTTACTGTCAACCAATCCATAAGTTCGCAAACGAGCACATAATCTTTGAAATGGACCTATTTTCATCCTAAGTAGATCACGACATATTGTATCACTCGTGCCAAACATTCGTGTAAGTGTTATTTCTCTTTCAGAATTCCAATTTGTATGAGGAGCTCTTGGAAGATGTCGTGCACGACGCCTAAGTTCATTATATATCATAATCGCTTGCATGACCATCGTCCAAAATAAACCTAAGTGTTGTCGTCGGCATCGACGTTGATTCGTTGTTGTAGCCATGTTATAAACTACAAAGGTAAATAAAAATTCAATAAAAATTTGTTTATAAAGAATAACATAAAAGTATTAAAGAATAAAAAGTTATCTGTACCTACATTAGAATAGAAATTCATGGCATGACCTTCCAAGCATAATTTTTTTTGAAAGGTAAAAAAAATCCTTGATGGGGGACTCAAAATAGTAAATTGGATAATAGTCTCATTGCCAATTTCATTAAATACATCTTTATCAAAATATCTCAACATATTTTCTTAAAAATCAAAAAAAGCTTGAATAAATATACCGACAGTGAAATAAAAAGTTAAGAGATGAACATCAAAAATTGAGTTGCAAGTAGCATGACAGATGGACAGATTTAATGGAAGAGATTTCATTTTGAAAATTTCCTCCATTTCAAACTGTTCCAATGCCCAGCCACTCACCTAATCAATGCAACAACTCTACTTAATAAATAAAATAAGTAATAACTACCCATATTTAAATATGAAGCAAAAATTTTTATATGGTGCAGTAATTCTTCAACTTCCAGTTCGCAGGTGAAACTTCCTTGATTATAATAAATTGAGTAAAAACAGAATGTTAAAGCACTAAAAATGACATTTATCATCCTGACGTACCTAATTTCACTTGGTCAAATCAATATAATCTCAAAATTCAAAATTTCCATCTCATAGAGCGTTAACTAACCAAAAATTATAGTCAGACCACATAATCTTCTCCTCGCATTATTTAAGCCTCCATTTCACTACTATTCAACTACTGTAACACGCGAAAGGAAACACATCGAAATGTTGCAGAGAAAATTTTCAGGCTTGATATGTCTATGATTTGATTTTGGGATGTGATGAAATTATATATGCATAAATGACTTTCAAAACATAAACAACCACCTCAGCCACTTTCTAAAGCCTTTACCAGCAATGTTCCATTTTAATGCATCTGTGAAGAATAAAAGGACTGAAAGTTGCCTCTACCCTGTTCTGATTTTTTGCCTTTCTGATCATTTTTACTAGTGATGGTTACATGATCTATGATATTACATCGTACATCCAGATGGGACAAGAGAAGGAGGGAATTGATGCGTTTCTGCATATGAGAGAGTCGAACGTATGTCCTAATGAGTATACTTACGTAGCTGTGATTTCTGGTGTTGCCAATGTTGCAAGACTTGATTGGGGAAATCAAATGCATGCACATGTTTTACATATAGGTCTTATGGACTCATTATCTGTGGCAAATTCTGTCATGACAATGTATTCAAAATGTGGATACTGTGAGTCGGCCTCAATAGTCTTCACTGAAATGTCCAGGCTTTCAGTTTTTTGATTCAATGACTAGTGAGTAAAAGATAAATCCTACTAAAGAACATTATGGTTATATAATTATATAAAGCAATCATTTATATCCTCAAAAAATGTTCGGCGGCATATATGAAAAACAAAAACACAAATTGAATTCTGTGAAAAACAAAAACACAAATTGGAATCTGTAACTAGAAATAATGAGGTGCCCATGAATTTAAACAAAGAAATCGACAAGATTGATTAACAAATAATTACTTTGTACTCAATCTAATTAAGAATTATAAAAATATAGAAATCAAATATGGTGGTTTGATTGTTAAACTAACCTCAATCTATGCAGTCACAGCCTCGTTGCCAGCCTTTTGGAGTGATTTCCCCCGTAGCAGATCTGGAAACAGAGACAAGTCGGTGATTTCTTCTTCCTCGCTCGGTTGAATAGATGAGAGAGACCGAATCGATGAAAGAGACGGAACTGATTTGGAGTTGGTAGAGATGAGAGAGAGAGAGAGATTAACGTGGGTTGATTACCAACAATTTTGGAAGCAGTTAAATTCCGTGGAAAATAAAATCCACCCAACCTCAAGGAAAATATTTTCCTTATTTTCAAGGAAAATGTGGTCACGTGACCAAAAGAAGGAAAATATTTTCCTTGAAAAAAATTGTCAATCAAACAAGGTAAAAGTAGGAAATTAGGTGAAAAATACCTATTTTCCATGGAAAATGTGTGCAATCAAACACACCCTAAGTTCAAAGGGATTGAACTTTATGTTGATCTAGACATTAGATTAGCAAAGAATGACGGCGTTTAGTAGGAACCAAAATGAGATTAATAACTATGGTACTGGAATATTTGTGATTTGTATAAATGAACTTTTTAGGTTGCATTTTCAAATAAAATGGAAGTGAAAAACTTGCAATTATGAAAAAAGGCAGCAGTTACTTTTAACATAATGGGTGTTAAATGTTTGGGATGGTTATGGTTTTAAATTTCAAATGGAAGTGGTGGTTAGCAATAAATTAAAAATGGAAGTTAAAAATGATAAAGTAAGTGGGGTTGGTTAAAATTGGAGGCAATCTCTTTCTTTAATTTTCGAGGAAGTGGCCGTGAACTGCATTTAAAATGGAGTTGCAAAATTTGATTTTAGAGGGTGGTTACAATGAATTAAAGTGGAAGTCATACAGGATAATGTGAGTGGGTTGGTTAAGAACTTGAAGTGGGAGTTGTTCACGAAATTATTTTCTTTCGATTTAAAACCACCGCAAGTGTACGGTTCGTTAACAAATAATAAAGTGGATTAAATGAGTCCGAATATCGTCTCACAGAGATTGATTAGTTCAAATTTTACCTACCGTAGCCTTAACCGAAACTAAATTACCAAAGTGAATGTAGACCTAATTAAACCCCAATTATACATTTTTTTATGATTAAATTGAAATTAATATGCAAAACAATAATTTAAAACTCTAGAATGAAATCAATTGTTGAGAACGCACGTTTGTTGTAATTAATAGAAATTAAACATACTAGGATCACGATTTCCCATGCAATTATCACTTTAAACTCTAGTTTCACAATATGACAACATAATTCAATTGTTGACGAATCAATGTTCCTAAGTCTATCCAATACTCTCTCTCGAGATGTATAAAACTTATTTCTACATACCACCGGCCTATATTTCTATGACAAGTGCATATGTAAAAACGCATGTAATTTTATGAACACTTAAAGATTCACGTAGGGCATAGCGGTATATTTCTATCCCCTATCGGACCCTACGATGATTTATATTATGTCGAATCTATTCCAATTTTCTCGAATGCAGGAATAAATCACCCAAACTCACACAATTACGGGCCCTTAATTGCGGAAACAATAAATGCATATAAATCATTCAAAACAAAAGAAATATGTTTTAATGTCAAATTGCAAAACTAGAAAATTAAAGATCCAACTACATGGTGCATCCATCTCCTAGCATAATAAAAATCTAGCCTAGCATAATGGGGAATAAAGAAAAACAATAATTAAAACCAAGGAAGAACATTACCCAATTGATTCTTGAAGTGAAATCTTGAATCTTGAAGTGGATTGCCTTGTTTTTCCTCTCCAAATCCTCCAATATTGTGTATATTCCCCCCCTTTTATGTTTCAGGGTCGTCTAGTATTTATTGGAGGCGGAATTAGGTCAAGGAAGTTACCCAAAACCTTACTAAATCGTGTTTGAGTCGAATAAGGAAACCTGAGATTTTGTCACATTTTTATACCATGCGATCGTATGGTATAAAGCCATGCTACCTCATGGTTCAGAAGTTTCAGCCCAGATTTTTCCCTGTACTGCCTTGTGCAACCGCAAGGAATTATAACCATGCGGCCGCATGGTTATAGAAATTTTTCCGTCGGACAGCTTTTAGTATTTTGGTCATAACTTTCTCTCCCAATCTCCGATTAAAGTGATTCAAAGTGGATTGGGAAGAAAAATCAAAGATCTACACTTTTGATAGAAATAGGCTTCCTCAAATTCAGATTTTTACTATTCCAAAAAATGGATCTCAAGTAGAGACTAAAAATCACGAGCATAACTTTTTTGCCTGAAAATTGATACTTGATAATACTTCGACTATATTTCACCTCTTGATTCCTTTCCTCATCCGATTGACCTCTAACACTCTTGAATCTTCATTCCATTTCCCGTCTCATCTATGAATTATTTGCAACTTGGTCCCCGAACTATCACTTTGCTCCATTTTAGTCTTTTTTCGGCTCTTTTCTTCTGAATTTTACCATATTCATCGGTGTTCCCTACAATTCACATATATAACGAGATTAAGTCACAATTCAATCATTTTTCTCATTATTAAGTCATGTTTGTGACCTAAATAAGTGTGCAAAAACACACTTATCAAGAGTCTTCAAGTGGTTGCAAAGGACCTACCATACAAATTCCAATTGAATGGCAGTTTTTTTTTTTTTTAATATTTTGGTGGTTAACTACAAAGAAAGATGGAAATTAATATAGAAAGTAGGGTAGTTAATAAACTTAGTGGATGGAAAAAGCGTAAGAAGAAATCAAAGATAATGGAATCAAATTTGAGTACAACAAGCGTATCAAATCTTAAAATTTAAGGCAGCAATTAATATAAAATGTGTCGTCAAAATAATGTAACATAAAATTTTTTCATCTAAATGAGATTTCGACACCTTACAAAATTTTTAAAAAGAGTAGCGAAACTTGACTTTCGTGACCAAAACTTTAATTTGAACTCTTATGGAAGTGTCGTAGCGACGTAATAATATAACCCAAATTATATTTGAGTTCTATGATTTTATTTTGAAATGAAACAAAATAATTTGTTCTCAATCGCTACAAAAAATGTAATGTACGACAATATATGAATCATCAACTCGAATGTTCGACTGTAATACTAATTGAGTATCCATTGAAAGAAAAGATATGCATTCGCATATGATGTGAGATGATGTTATGTAGCATGTCATAAATATGTCTGTGACCCGTAGATGACTTAGTGAAAAAAATATGTGACCTATTCAGTATGATCTCTGACTTAGCCCTTGTTTGAGTCCCATTCTTTTGAAAAAAAATGTATTTTTCAATAGTGTTTTGACATCATATCAACCACACATTTTTCAATAAAATAATATTACATGTAAATCCAAAACTTTTTCTTATTTT